AATCCCAAATCCCAGCACTCAGGAGGCTGAAGCAGGAGGATCGCTGTGAGTTCGAGACCAGCCTGGGCTACACAGCGAGTTCCAGGTCAGTCTCGAATACATAGTGAGACCCTGTCTCAAAAGCAAAAAAAATTCTTCAATCCAGAGCCAGGCATGGTGGCACACGCCTGTAATCCCAGCACTCAGGAGGCTGAAGCAGGAGGATCGCTGTGAGTTCGAGACCAGCCTGGGCTACACAGCGAGTTCCAGGTCAGTCTCGAATACATAGTGAGACCCTGTCTCAAAAGCAAAAACAAAAAAAAATTCTTCAGTCACCAAATGACAGCTTATTCAAACAGTAATTCAGACTAAATGCCAGGGAATAAAATAGCCTTTCAGCTAGACATGAGGAGACCAGACAGCATGATCTGCCCCCTTTTTGCTAGCATCTGGGAGGTACGAAGCCAGTAACCGTGGTTCGAATCTCCCACAGGCAAGCGGTGAAGATGCTGGACAGAGCCCTCAGAGTAGAGCCACGAAGTGTCCAGGAGAGGAGCCTGCTGCAGCCTGGCCGCCCTCCCCACCCCCAGCCGTTACCTCTTCCTCGAAGGATGACGAGGAGGAAGAAGAAGAGGGAGACAAGATAATGGCAGAGCTGCAGGTAAGTGGGCGGAGTGGTGTGGTTGGCTCCCTGCCTTCTCGGCCTGGCTGGCCGGGCTGTTAGCTGGAGGGTGTTCGGAGCTAGGCTACACCTCTGGCCTTTACCTCCCGCTTCCCAAGGTCTCCCTTCCAAGTACTCACCAGGCCCGACCCTGCTTAGCTTCCGAGATCAGACGAGATCGGGCGCGTTCGGGTTGGCGTGGACGTGGACCCACCTCCCCAGGCTCTTGGTATAAGACATGTGGGAGAGTGGACCATTTCACCAGACAACTCGGGAAACTGTGTGGAAAAATCAGTTGCATCCCTCGCTAGCCCGGGCTGGCAGGAGTTACTTTCCTTCCTTCTAGACTTACTGCTCTCCACTTCCTCTCAAGGGAGGTGCGGTCAGGATTCAGAAAGACGGCCCCGTCTTGTCTTGCTAAGGCCTGGCTGAAGCACATTTCATGTGGGTCCCTGCTCTTTGGCTTTACCCCTTGCACAGACTGACCTTGAATCGTGGCTCAAGGTCAGCCACCAGCCTCCCGGAGTTCATGCCAGCTTCCTGTTCGGTGCCCTCTTGTCAGAGGCTCTGCAGAGCTCCATCCTGTTCCCGGTTTTCCTTGCTGTTGGAGAAAGGCCGCTCTATCACTGTAGGTGTGTACTTTTAGCTAAGAGCCATGGTTGGCCCAGAGGACTAAGGATAGGACACAAGGGCTGTAGGAAAACTGATCCCCTCTTTGACCATGACTGTGAATCCGCCCTGGAAGTGTGTTCTAAGAACTTGTTGCCTACACCATGTGTGTTGGCCGACTCACACTTACTAGATGATGCTTTTCAATCAGAGTGAGGCTCAGCCTCTTGGGGGCCTCAGAGCTGCACCGGTGGCTTTGTGCACACCTGGCAATTTTCAGATTTTGTTTGCAGTAGGGAGAGATTTCAAGCCACACTATTTCCAAGACACTTGTTCTACTCTGGTTTCCATGGTGATAACTACCCAAATTGAGCTGATTGGAATTTCCAGGGAAGGTGGGGCTGCTGGTGGTACCGGCCTGCACAGGAGCCCTTTCCAGCCCCCCTAAAGCTCGCAGACTGGTCGGAGACTCCCTCATGGGAAGCGTGGCTTTCTAGGTTAGGGACTTCTCAGACTGCTTCAGCACTTACTCGTTTGCCCTTAGTGCTGACACCCTGCCCACCGCTCAGGACGTTTTCCTCCACCAAAGTCTCCATCTTTGGTGACCCCCTTTCTGAAAGCAGTGTCCAACTTCTCACCCTGTGACCGGTAGCTACTTAACAGTGGTGAATGAAGAGCCACACCCCTAATTCAACCAAACCCTCCTCCTGGAATAAAGACCCACCCTGCTGACCCGGAAAGCTGGCCCTGGCTCAGCAGCTACGCTGCTTTCTTTGCCTATGCGTGCCCTGGAGTTCAAGGCCAGGCAGGACGAGGAGACTGCAGCCTCCTCCAAGAGTGGTCATGGACAGCTTCCTGTGGTCCGTGCCACTGGACACAGGAAAAAACACAAGCTGCAGAATCCAGACCCTAAGAGCCCAAAGCAAATGGCAAATGACCTCAGCAAGCGCATCCAAGATGAACCAAACACAACCAAGGCACCAGCAGCACTGGCTTTCCGCAGGGCATCAGGGAGCGCAGGTGCAGCGGAAACAGGACGGGCAGTCCTAAAGTTCAACGCTTGACATTTAAAGAAAGCCCTGAGCAGTTATTTAAAATGATTCCCCTTATTAGAATGGGGAGTTGAAAAACAAAAACCCCCTCGCACGCAGAGATTCTGGTTTCCCTCTTCCCTGAGTGAGGCTAGGTAACAGCAGCGTAAGTGGGGGTTTGCTGGGATCCCCGGTGTTCACACCCTCGGGTCCCTGCTCCGCGCCTGTCCTCCAGCCATGACCGGAGTTCCCCAGGGCCTGTTGTCTCAGCCTGCAGAGCCAGCCTGTACTTCCTGTCTGTCTGAGGCCTGGCCCACCTGGCTCAGCCTTCACATGGGCCTGCCGCTGGCCTGCACGGGGCCCGCAGCTGGCCGGTGGGAACATCTCCATAGCCCAGGCAGCCGCCTGGCCCAGAGCCTCAGTTGACCACTTGAGAGTTGGCCTCAGAGCACAGGAGGACCTGTCTCTGCCTCAGAGAGTCAGAGGGTCTAAAGGGTTAAAATGTCCTCATTTCCTCATTCTGTAATTTCAACAAAGCTAGTAAAAGATGAAAAAAGAAAGATACCTTTTTGTTTTGATTCTCATGCATATTCGACATTTTCAAGTCAGAGCAAGGAACCCTACTTAATGCAACTCGGGTTCTCCCCACATAGAAGAAAGGGTATTATTTCTCCCCCTTTTTTTAGTGCTGGGGCTTGAACCCAGGAACTCACGCATGTTAAGCAAGTGTTGTCCCCACTAAGCTCCAGCCCAGGCTGAGCATGTCCCCCGAAGCCCTCTGTCTACTTTCTCCTGGTAAGGAAGCCTTTCCCTGGCCTCTGCCCCAAACCCACCCTGCAGGCTTGCGGCCCAGCGGGTGCTGCCCCCTGTGTGAGCCTGCTTGCAGGACCAGGGCTGGGGTCCCCACACCTCTGGATTCCTGTGTGTGCCCCTCTTTTCCCCTTGTACACTTGGATCCCTGTAACCTCCGTATTTTGGTTCCTTAGGCATTCCAGAAGTGTTCCCTTATGGATGTAAATTCACACAGTCACGCTGAGCAGTCCCGGGCTGACAGCCACGTTAAAGACACTAGGCCAGGCGCCACAGCCCCGCCCAAGGAGAAGAAGGTAACCAGGTGGCCACTGCACACTTGCCTCGCTGTCAGACAGCCCTTCCTTCCTCCAACACTAGCATGGTCCTTCTGCACTTGACTTTCATTCCCTCTCTCCTTTTTGTTGTAAACTAATAGAGACACAGGTTTAGGTCACGATCAGAGATACCTGGCTCAGGTTTCTAGCATAAAAAAGCTGTGTTCTTATGCGTGGAATACAATAGTGTAGGGAAAAACTAGACAGTGTCTTCCCATACCTTTTGAGATTTTTCTAGAGCAATTTTTAAAAAACAAAACAAAAACTAGCGCCCAAATATACAGAAGCTTTTTTGCAATTTTTAACATGTGTTCTACAAAACAAACCAAAACATCGTTGTGAAAAATGGGTAAAGACCTCAGATTCAGGGAAGAGAGTGACAGCAGAAAATACCTTTCACCACATAAATACAAAGGTGGAACTGTGGAGACACACAAGCGTGTATCTACACCTACATCTAGGGATGCCAGACAGAATCTCTGCAGGGCATTAGTGTATCTTCCAAGATAGTAAGCTAAGCTCAGTATAATGTTCGTGTTAAAATACATTTGTGGCTGTCATTGCCTAAGTACTTCAGGGACAGGATTTGGCCTGACTTTTGGAGCTGCAAATTAAAGTTGAATCTACAGCATTTGTGGTTTTAGGGTTCAGCATACTCTTATTTTAACTAAGAGTCTTTATAAATTTTAGGATAAGGGCCAGGGATGTAGCTCAGTGGCACCACGCCTACCTGGCAAAGACAAGATCCTGAGTTCGATTCCGAGTACTGGGGGGGCGGGGGGGATTTTAGGGTAAAACCTGTACCAATTCAAGTTCTAACCAAGAACTTACATTTCAGAATTCAGGGCCACTACTTTCCCTTACAGGAAAACATGTGAGTCTCCATACAGCTGTTCCAGTTGGGTGCCGTGGGGGTCCGTGTACAGGAAAGCTCGGTGGAGAGCACTGTGGAGGACTAGTTTAACCCAGCCCTCAGAACCTGCTCCTGTGTGGCCGGCAGACCCCCTAGAGCCCTGTGTGAGCTGTGTCTGTCACATCACAGACACACGAAGCACTTAACAAGAGGGGGGACTTGCCCCAGGCCCCTAACCCCAGCACTCTGGGAGGCTGAGGCGGGAGGACCGCAAGTTCGAGCCCAGCCTGGGCAACTCAGTGACCTAGCAAGACTGCCTCAAACTACAAACTAAAGAGGAAAGAGATCTGTTTTTGTACCTGGGAGATTATTAATAATTCCTGATAAATCTTGCTTATGAAGAAAACCTAATTTGATTAAACCATGAGATCACATTGGAAATATATTACTTTCGCTGCATATGGAATTTTCCTTTGTGACCTAATTGAAACTTCCTCGTGAAAGGCCCTGGCTGAGTGTCCTTCGGCCAGTGTGACTCTGTCTAAAACCAGTGACAAGGAAGTGAAAGTTCTCAAAGGTCTCTCTGGAGGAAATCATTGTCTTGTAGTGGAATTTTTTTTATTGGCTAGAATCTTGCATGAGATTTCTCGTCTTTTTTTTTTTTTTCGTGGTCCCAGGAATTGAACTCAGAACTGAGCTGCATCCCCGGCCTGAGATTTCTCGCCTTGCAGGCATGATCCATCAGGAAAGCAGCAGTCCCAGCGCAGGGTTTAATTACAAGAACTTTCTCTGTGTCATTACTGAGTAGCCAGTGGATGGATCTGTTTTATAGGAATGAGTATTAGACTAGTCCCCTAATTTTTGTCACTATCAGTCTCTACTTTGGCTATTCATCTATCCTTTCATAAGTCAAATGTTCTCTTAAAATTCTTTCCCTCTGTCATAACGAAGCCTCCAGACTTGTACTGTACTTTTATGTGATTTTCCTGTCGTGTGTCTCTAATTTTGGTTTATTTTTCATATGCATACTGAGTGTGGTTCTCCAGTTGACTAAGCAATCCAGATTTGGGGGTCTAAAAACGAACATCAAAGAGGTTTCATTACCTTTCAGGCAGAGTCTTAACTGTCAAAGACTAAGAAAGCATCGTGCATTTTTAGGGTTTATCGTGATCGAGTTGTTCTGGGTGAAGCTCACGCACTTACTTTGAGACATCTGTTCCCTTTTCGAATCCAGCGATAATAGTCATAGCTTCTGTGAAAACCGCATGTGACTTCTTCACGTCGGGGGTCTTCCATTAGAGTGCGGCATCAGAATTCAGATGCACACGTTGCAGGGTCACATATTCTACAGTGGGAACAGCACAGACCCTGCCACCCAGGGCAGTGCCAGCCTTGACCCTGGTAAACGCAGACAGTAGGCCACCAGCCGGGCTTGTGTCCGCGTGAGATCATGGGCCAATCCTGCTTTGATTCAGCCAGCAACCTCTCGCTCATGCCGTAGTGTAATAGGCTAACTGCCTTTTTAAAAGCTGAAACTTTTGGCTGGAACCTCTTACTTTGTTCCTTAAAAACTTTTCCTTGATGTAATTGTGTCATCTAAATGCAAGGTCCCAAAAGAAACTCTGTGGTTCAAATGCAGCACACAGGTTCACCAACGAGGGAACTTCATGGGAGACAAACAGGTCCAACAGGGTTATCTGCTGACTCGTGTACCCTGTGCCTTGGGATGATTTCCCCGGGACTAATACTGACCTTGTCTGCCTACTGCCCCTGAATGCGTGCAAACATTCTTTCCATTTTTAACCAGGGCAGGAGGACTGCGCTGGGTTGACTTTGGCTCGGACTGGATTATTGAGCTGTATTATGTTATCGGTGCCTTAACAAAATCACCTTCACTGGGACCGTTATGGTCTACCCAGTTATGGTCACCATCTCCTCCTGGGCTTCTGCAGCGAGAAGAAAGGGCAGCGGTGCCTTGGCCGTGCAGAGGCCCTGCTAGTGCGGGGTGTGCGGTTCCGAGGTGCTCTCCTGCCAGGCTGACAAGGCCAAGGCCACCAGAGCACTGTGACCGCCTGCACCCTCACGGCTGGGTCCTTCGCTCCCAAGTGGGGCGGGCGGGACCCTCAGAAGTGTCTGCTCTGCACTGTGAGACACAGACACTGCCAGGTACGTCGTGAGATCAGAAAACAGGCTGGCAAGGTGGCACAGTGGTAGCACATTTGTCCAGCGTGTGCGAGGCCTGAATTCCATCCCCAGGACCACAAAAGACAGAACGTAAAAGCTGCCCGGAGCGTCGTGGTCGCCATCTTCGCTTTAAACGCATGCTTGTGTGTAGGTGACAGTCGTGGTGTGCGCACCTCCTCACAGCGCCACTGGTCAGCGTGGACCTCTGCCAGGGGCTCCCCGGGGGTTAAGAGGCTGCGCACTCCCTGCCCCCCGCACCGCCGCCATGTGAGGCCCCAGCACAGGGAGTCTGGCGTGGCGGGAGCTCCTGGTGCGCACAGTGACTCGTGATGAGCAGCTGTGTCGCTGCTCTGCATCCTTGGCAGTCTCTCTTTCGGAGCACATTCCTTTACTTATTAGGAAGGAAATAAGCTCAGGCGTCGCAGCTTCCTGCACAGCGGGTTCACTCTGCCCCTTGGTCGCTTAAGAGGCCACTGCGTCCGTTCACGTCAGGGTGTGCACCGGGACAGGGTCCCAGGGCGCCCTCCCCTCCTGCACCACTGGTACTGCGTGGCTACCCAGGGGCGGCAGCACTGCAGATTTGACCTTGACCGTCTTGGTTAGTGATGAGTTGAAGGTCATTTTGACACTTGCAGCGTACACTGCAGGGATATCTTCAATCTGTTGCTTGACCGGGGAAAAATAAAGGTTGGGTGCTTGTTTGTTTGTTTGTTTGTTTTCCCTGTCCCAAATGACCACACGAAACCATTGCAGAAGTCTTTCTGGGACAATTTTCATTAATGAAGCAGAGACTGGTAAGATTTGGTGACCCAGATGTGTAATTCCAGCTACTCTTGAGTTCACTGGTTTGAGATCAACCTGGGCAATGTGGCAAGACCCTGTCACAAAATAAAGTTCAGAGGGCTGGGAGGGCCAGGTATTTAGCTCAGTGGTGCCACCATCTGCCTCATAAGCGCAAGGTCCTGAATTCGATCCCTGGTACCAAAAAAAGGGCTGGGATGTGGCTCAGTGGGGGAGGATTTTCCTAGCAAGCGTACATCCCTGGGTTCCATTTCTAGTACCCAAGGGAAGGGGACAGCACTGAAACGACCAGGTGAAAGGGACGAGCATGAGAAATCTCTTGATCTTGTCCCTCCGTTCATGGGCAAGGAAACTGAGGCACGGAGAAGTAAAGTAATGATTTGCCTGAAGTCGCTCAGTAGAGAGTCGGGTCTGGATTAGAACCAACCATTCTGCTTGCTGCCTGCATTGTGCTTTCTGCAGTTCTTGTCTTTGTAGATTCTGCTGAGCTCACAATCAGATTGGCCCCTTTATTCTTTTAACTGCTCCTCCAAAAAATCTAAAACATTTGAAATACTTTGCTAATTGAGATTTTCATCTTATGCAAACGCAGGGCATTTTTGGAAGTTGGAGAACAAAGCAAGCCCAGGTAAACAGAGCTGCAGGCTTTGTTTTGGTGTGTTACAGCTGTGCTTGGCAGCATGTTTGGAGATGTAATTAAAGGAACGCTTGAGTTCTAGTCCACTTTGGGGGTGTGTGGTTTTGTGGAGTAACATGTCCTACACTGTTCTGCCAGAATTTGGAATTGTTCCGCGAAGATGTTCGGAAATCCGATGTTGACAGTGAAAGCGGCCCCCAGGTGGAATCCCAGGTGAGTCCAGCAGACCTGTTCTCCCACTGACCCCAAGCAGCACAGCTCATTTCCTTTGCTGACCCATTTCTGATTAATACGTGTGGTTCCCCTCTCAGGTTGCCACAGGGGTTCAGAGGCCTGGGGACCCTCCTAAGTGGGAAACAGGACTGGAGAATAGTGTTCCCAAGGCATCAGGAGCATCTGGATATAAAACTGGCAACTTAAGGAGGGAAAGTTACACATCCAATAAAAGTTTATTCAGGGATAACGGAAACTATTCCCAGAAAAGTGTGCCGAAGGTCAGTTTCAATCTCACCGGCATGCAGCCATTCGAAGAGGAAGCAAACAGAGGATCTAAAGTCCCAGTACTGCCGCACCCTCCACCTGACACTGATGGTCTGAAGGCGGCTTGTGGGGAGTCGAAAGACACAGGTCAGCAAGGACAAGAAAGCACAGACAAGTGTCGCGTGCCCTCCCCTGTGAGGTCAGCAGAACCGAGCCTCTGTGAGGTCAGGATGCAAGACCAAGACACCCCCAGGACAGATTCTGCCCAGGTGGTACTGAGACCCAAAGACACAAAGCATAGGAACGGGGCTCCTCCTCGTGAGAACGGAGAGCGCACCCCGAGTTCTCCCACCGAAGAGACTGCGGCCACCGACAACATCGCCTTCATGATTACCAAAACCGCCGTCCAGGTCCTGTCCAGTGGCGAGGTCCACGATATAGTTAGCCAAAAGGGCCGGGATGTACAGACGGTGAACATCAACGCCAGGAAGGAGACGGCTTCGCAACAGGAAGGGGCTGAACATGAAGAGCCAGTCGTGTGCCTGGACAAAAAGCCGGTCATCATCATTTTTGAGGAGCCCATGGACATCCGGTCTGCCTACAAGAGACTTTCCACCATCTTTGAGGAGTGTGATGAGGAACTGGAGCGAATGATGACCGAGGAGAAGATAGAGGAAGAGGAGGAAGAGGAGGAAGACGGAGACCCTGCCGTCCAGAAAAACACTTCCCAGTCTCCTGGCCAGGTGGCCCCTGGCAGTCTGCACGCAGGACAGCAGGAGAAGAAGTGGCAGCCACACTTCCTGTCCATCGAGCCGAAGACCGCGGGAGGACAGGAAGGGAGTCAGAGCGAGCCGAGCGCCCTCAGCCCAGCGGAGTCACCGGACGCCCACGGCAGGAGTGACACAGCCGATGACCGAGGCGAAAGCCCCAAGAAAAAGTTTAAATTCAAGTTCCCCAAAAAACAACTGGCTGCCCTCACTCAGGCGATCCGCACAGGAACCAAGACGGGGAAGAAGACCCTGCAGGTGGTGGTCTACGAAGAGGACGAGGAGGACGGCACCCTGACGCAGCACAGAGAAGCCACGCGATTCGAAATCGCCCGGTCACAGCCTGAGGACGCCTGGAAAACCACGAGCAGAAGGCAAGAGCAGCCAGGCCCAGAGAGCGCGTGCCAGATTTCGAGGACCGACGAGATTAGAAAAAATACCTACAGGACGCTGGACAGCCTGGAGCAGACCATCAAACAGCTGGAAAACACCATCAGTGAAATGAGCCCCAAAGCCCTAGCGGAAACTTCCTGTACCTCCGACCGAGACTTGGGTGCAAGCTCGGCCCACGAGGCCTCTCCCCGAAACTCGCTAGCTCCGGATGAAGCCCCCCCTGCCCCAGAGCCCCCCACGTCTGTATCTTCAGCTTCACGTAAGGTATCTTGGTCTGGTGGAAACGTGAAAAGACCCCTCCCCGGCTGCTTTCTTACAAACCTGCCGTAATCACCGTTAGCAGAAGGTGTCTTGTGATTTTAATCGCTTCCCTGCGGTGGCTCGTGTCATTTGTGTGTTCGCCATGATGCCCTTTTCTCCTCTCTCCCTCACCTTCCGAACAGCAGCAGCACCCAGGTGTCTAACCGCTAATCGACCTGTTTTTACCTTTGTTGATGGGTGCTGGGTACTCGTGAGGATGGCACCAGCCGTCTGCATTGATGCGATTGCTCTGAAACTCACATTAAACTCCGTCGGATCAGTAGTGAGCGGTGATTCTGTGTGATTCTTCTGATTAACCCCAGGCGGTGTCTCCTCCGTCTGTCCTGCATGCAGGGTTCTGGCTTCTCCCCTCGGCCTCCTGCGCCCCGTGGGCAGCCTGGGTGTCACGCTCTGCTCACCGTTTCCCTCTCTCTCCCTGTCCCCTCCGCAGGCCTCCAGCGGGACCCCCCAGACCAGCCGCATGCCCGTCCCCCTGGGCGCCAAGAGCCGGCCCGGCAGCCTGGACAAACCCAGCAAGCAGCCCAAACTGCAGGACCCCCGCCAGTTCCGCCAGGTAGTTTTACCCTAAACCCACTTCTGGATGGACTCTGTTGCGGTTAAGAAGTGACTCCTAGTGTCCACCCAGTGCTGGGTTTCCTGTGGGAGACACGGTTTACGTAGGCACCCTGGATGGGGGGGCGTGAAGAAGGTCTGAAACGGCTGTTAGTCTTCCCCCACGCTCTCTCTCTCGCATGCATGCAATAAAACGTCTTTGACTGGATGACTGCAGATTTTCACTGTTAACACGCGGTGCCTGGCCGGTGGACTTGTCCTGGTGACCACGGTGCTCCGTCAGAACACTGGGAAGCACAGACAAAGCAGCTGGTGGCTGAACTGCCCGTAAAGTCACAGTACTAACGTCTGTCGCCTTAGAAGCACGTTAACGCTCCCTCACCCCGCCCCTGCCACCCGGTCCGCAGCCCCACCCACGCACGGCCAAGCTGCCCCTCGGGAGCGTGGCCCGGGTGGCGTCTCGTCTCTCGTGCTTTCCTGCTTTCTGTCTGTGTGCTACACCCGTGGCTGCGCGCCGGGGGCGGGGTCTCCACCAGGTCCAGAAAAGCACAGGAGCTAGCGCAGACCGTGAAGCGTGTCTTTGTTTGTGGCTGAATGGTCTCAGGCGGCCGTGGCGCCAGCCCTGAGGGTTGCTCATGTTGCCAGCTTTCTGACGCACTGTCTCCACCGTCTCTGTTCGCAGGCCAATGGAAGTGCTAAGAGAGCTGGTGGGGATTGTAAGCCTACTTCCCCCTCCTTACCTGCTTCTAAGATTCCAGCCCTTTCTCCCAGCTCTGGGAAAAGCAGTTCTCTGCCCTCTGCTAGTGCTGACGGCTCTACCGTCCCTAATCCACCTGCTGCTAAACCTGTGATCACTTCTAACCCCCTCAGCCCCCAAGCAGGGCGGCCTGCACACTGCGTCTCCCACATCCCTTCTGTCTCTAACGGCTCCTTGAAGTTCCAGAGCCCCGCTGCTCACGCAGGGAAAGGCTCCCACCTGTCCTCGCCGCATTCCCCCGCCTCCCCGACCTCCCTGAGCCAGGGTGCCAGGGCTGGCAGGGCCGCCCACTCGCCCGGCCTCACCAGCTACAAGGCCCAGAACGGAAGTTCCGGCAAAGCCACCCCGGCCACAGCAAAGGAGACCTCTTAAAGGCCAAGTCCTGTTAGGCCCAAGTTGGAGTGAATTTTTTTCGTTTCCCCACTTTGTGTCTTTTAGCAGTCTACACCTGTTTGCACCAGAGAATGTAAAATATTGCTGTACTGTTTGAGGGTTCGTGCACAGTGTCTGCTCAGTACTGGATTGATAGATTTCAGCGAAGCTTGTTTCATTTTTCACTTTGTTCCCGCTGTCACTGCGTAGTGTTGACTGTCTAGATGCAATACCCACCTAATGAAGTAAGCATGTGCTACGAAAAGAAAATGGTCAGAGCAAGCGTGTGTGAGAGATGGGAAAACTGTGTGAAGCATGTAAAACATGTATGATTCCAGAAATGTAGTATGTTTTGTATAAAAATATTTTTCATTATGGAGACTAGAAGTGAACAGAGAAATACACAGGCGTGACTATATAAATTGTAAAACAGATGCTATAATATTTCCCTTTATTTTAGTGTTATTTAGCTTTATTACAGATTTCTATTTTTGTCAAAACTTCATGGTTCCTTTCAAGATCTTTTTTGCCAAGACATTTTGATACTATATAGCACTGTACATTTGAAAGTAGTAAAGCCAGTGAACTTCTACACAAGCCAATAGGGAGGCATATTTAGGAAGCAATCTATCAAAACTGTTGCACTGCCGTGAAAAGTGTGTATAATAATCTGCTAGCCCACTGCAAGCTAGTTTTCTTTGCTCTCCCTCCCGCTTTCTTTTCTTTTTTTAAAATTTGAACATACTGAGATTCTCTAGTTGTTTGCTTTGGAATACCCAGCCCCTTCCTTTCTTTTCTGAGACCTGGTAACACTCATTATTACATTGTGGATTTTAAAATGTACACTTATGTACGGTTCTGTAAACTGATCCACCTTTGTAAATATATAAATATACACAGGCATAAAAATACTGTATGTGAGCACACATAGAGTAGTTTTCCCACACCAAAGTTAATTTCTATGCATGCTTTAAAAATATATATTGGGATGGGTAGAAATGGGACTATCCACACATTTTTAAAAAGCAACAAGTTTGCACAGTTGGAGTGTTTTTGTAAATACATGTATTTGTATAACACTGTCATGTAATATACAGAATTATAAGCAGAGACTTTGCAAAACTAAATAAAGGGCTGCATGCTTATTACTTTTTTGTACCTCGTCACTAGAATGAATTCCTCATCAAAGAACAACATGTAACTCTTACCAGGTTAAGTGTTTCTGGCTTGAGGGCATTATAAAAACCTGTAACACATCCACTCATGATACCGCTCTTCTGAAAGCGCAGGGGTGATTAATGACCTAATAAATTAACTGCAAGAGTGGAACCTTGGGTGTGAGCTGCTGACTCTTTCCTGGGGCTTCTCAAAGTCCGACTGACAAAGCCAGCCAGAATGCTGAGTGCCCCGCTGCTGCCGAGAACTCTTGCTGCTTTCTTTCTCCCGGTTCTCAACCAGCACAAGGAAAATGGAAACAAAATGTCTTTATCACCAGGATTTTTTTTTTTTTTTTTTTTTTTTTTTTTTTTTTTTTTTTTTTTTTTTTTAGTTTTTAATTTTAAAGTATATTGTTGGTCTGGAGGGAAATACATTACACCATATGCTTTTGTTTAAGAAGAATGGAAGGAAAGTTAGTGAAAATACCAAGACTGTGAGTGTACTACAGGGACAGTCTGAGGAATCTGCTTATCATTATTTTTCACGTCCAAAATATTTAACTTGGTGGTTTGACATAAAGAGCAAATAGACTTGCACTGTAGAACCCACTTGTATGTTCCCACACTTCACAATTAACTAGGTGGGATGCCTTCACCAGGAGTATTTTCTGATGTCATTACAGTAATAGTGGTCATGTTTCAGGTGGCAGGCGGGTGGGAGGTGTTTAGGTACAAAAGGTTCCAACGTATCAATCACGTCCTATAATCTTGACAACTACATTTGTATATAAAAATATTCAAAGAATGACCAGAAGATACAGTGATTTTTTTTTTTAATTGTGATGCAGGGGGCGGGGGATTTAGCTCAGTGGTGCCACCACCTGCATCGCAAGTTCACAGTCCTGAGTTGGATCTCCAGTACCAAAAACAAACCACCTGTGAGACAGGGTCTTGTTATATAGGTGGCTTACACCCACTATGTAGCACAGGCTGGCCTTGAACATCTGTGATCCTCCTGCCTCAGCCTCTTGAGTGCCGGGATTACAGGCATGCACCACCATGCTTGGCTAAAACATCTTAAAACTCACAATAAAAGACTCATGGCTGCCAATCCCCTTCGAAGTACTCCTTGTCCTCTTGCCACTCCCCAGCAGTGGCTCTCAAAGATCTTTTTGTGCGTGTCTAATTGCACCAGACCATGGCGAGGCAGACCAGGGCTGGGACACTGTTTACAGACAGGCCTCTCCACTGGGGGGGCTCGGCAGCAGCGCTCGCTGTACTTATGATCACATTAGTAGGCTCTCAAAGAGGATGTCCAGAACCGCTTCAGAAAGCGGCAGGAACGACTGGAGAAAAGTGAAGCAAAGGGAAGTATTTTAAGAGGGTTTAACGGCAATGTGTCTTTCACTACAGTAATTTTTAATCCAAGTGGTCACTGTCTTTTCACACTTCACATAACACATCATGGTATTCTGTGTGATCCCATACATAACAGCTAGCTAGTTCGTGCCACTTTGTCAGCTCCTGTTCATACACAAGCTCAGCACTCTTCGTGAGCAGCTAAACAGCATGATTTGGATCCCTCTTGTGGGTTTGGCCTCGGATTTCGCAGAGATCTCATGGTGGGGTTCGGGTGTGAGGGTCCACTCAGCCAGGGTGCAGGACAGAGTGTGATGCTCCCTCAGATCCTCCTCTGCCCTGGCTGAGAAGCGCAGCCTCCTCCGGAGCCAGGAGAGCCCTGCCCACAGCTGGGGCACCAGGCCCAGGGTGAGTGCAGCGGAGCTCACCTGTTCCTCATCTCTGACCAACAGCCCAACACGCCCTACAGCTGCAGCCCTGATGAGGCCTAATGGCCAGCGCGTCCGCAGTAGGCTCCCTCCCCAGCCAGTCCACGCCCCCACAGAAAAGCCCTCGTGGCCCTTAATAAAGGCAAGGTGCCCGCCCTCTGCTTTCTCCCTGGAGCTGGAGCTCTCTGCCTCCTGCGGGGTCCGCTGGACCCCACCAGCGCCCAGGCCTCTCCGGCGTCTGTAAGTAATGCATTTCTTGTTCCAAGTACTTTGGTTTTCCCTCCTGGTACCGCTCACCTGGCTGACGCTCCTGAAACTGCCCAACAAGCTTGTGGAGTGGCTGTTGCGGTCTAGGGCCCCGCTAAGTTCACATCGGAAGTGAGTGCTGTTAGCTGCTAGCTTTGGTTACGCTATTAACCGACCCATTTTAGGGGGTGTCTTCTAGCCAAGGGTGGTGACACGGATCTGTGACTCTGCACTGTAACAGGCCGAGGCAGGAAGGTTGAGCCTGGCCTGAGAAGTTTAGCAACTTCGTGGGACCTTGTCTCAAGGAGTAAAGGGCTCAGTGCAACAGTCAGCAGTAAAAAAGGGGGTCTTTTTAAATTATCAGTGTTTTTCTGCATCTGAAAGAAACTACATGGGCTTTTGGGTTCATTTAGCCATCCGTGAGTCCACGGAATCCGTCTTGGGAGCGTCTGCTGCGGGGGCAGGGGCTGAGGCCTGTGCCGAGCACACAGCTTCCCAGGGCTGGGACTGTGATCCGTTCTGGCTTCCTCCTCGTTACCGCCCGGGTTCCTGGGAGGATTCGATGTATGTAGCGCACTCGCCAAAGATCTTTGAGGGCTGGTCCTTAGCACAGCTGCCACGACGGCCAGGCAGCCGCGGCCCCTCCGAGGAGTCTTCCGGTCTAGCGGAGGAGGGGTCGGCGGGGACAGCCCGGCGATCGGGTGTCAGGGGGTCGGCGGGGCCCTGGCCCTAACCAAGGGCTTCTCCGCGCTGCCTGGAGGGGGGGGCGCCCTGCAGTCTCCGGCGGGGCCG